TCATCAATGTTCCACTATGCTACTATTTCTTCGTTAAAGTGACCATAGCTATAATTTCCGTTCTTTCACCGCGGACTTTAACAGCTGAGCTTATAAAAATTAGTGGACTTTATCGCACCATTTATATGCTAAGTTGTAAAGTTGCTTACTTCATCTTCGTCAGCTTCTTTGTGTCATCGTTATTCCATCGTGCACTTGGGTATAGTTTCACTCTAGAATGATTAAGCATTGACTTGGTGCAATGTAGTATATTTATTGCACCTGCATAGAACGGATGAGTCACATCTAACCTACCTTTATAGTGCCTATCTAACTTGGTTGTATTTCGCGGTGATTTCATGTGTTGCCCACTAAACTGATGTACTCATCATGAGCTATGGATACCCTTTCTACCTTCTCAAGTGGAGTCTAGTACGGTGACATACAGAGACGGTGAGCTACGGCATCTTTCCTCTTCGTATTATTATTCAGCCGCAATTCCCATCACTATGTAAGCTCCATGGTACGCTACATACATTCTGCTCCTTGAAACCGATTTCTAGATTACACGACTCTAGCTTGACCAGCAGCCCAATGCTAATTAGCAAGACGCTTAGAGAGTCGATGTATCGCCGGATAAAGGTTCAGTCCATCCATAAGCTTAATTGTATTTGAGGTGCGCGCGGAGTTTCCGAGCGAACCGTGCTGTTGATACGGATCAACGCTAGGGCGGCAAATTATTGAGTATGGTTCCAGTTCGGTAGATACGCGTGAACCCAAGGGTTACCAGCGCTTGGCCGCTTACAGTACGCATAAAGTGTAAAGTTTGACATCTGAAGCACACAATGCTCAACGATTGTTCCTGGTGTGACCACGTTGGACTATGCATGTGAAGAGAACTTACCCGGGGAAAATCCGTGACAAGTGAACAAGCCAGGTAATGAATGATGAGAGTGAGCATAGCTTTATTTCCCGTTGTTCATCAGCCATACTGAATTCACCGGGGCTCATGAAAACGCAATTAACAAGCGGATTGAAGACGGAAGCGCAGAGACACTTACCAGAAGTTGAAGTGGACATGGTCAATCTTTTGGATAGACTAAGAAAAAGGTAATGCCAATGGTAATGGTACGTCAGTGTCTTAGTACATTACATTGAAAATGAATCCGCGTATAGGGACAATCGTACTAAGAGCACTGAATAGCTGCACCGAGACGTATGACGGAGACCGTTAGAGCAGAGTACACAGCGGTATGTACAAACGGTCGAGTATTTGGATGACAGCCATGCTACGTCATGAACATTTGCAAAACAGTGTGTACATTGCTTAAAAAGCCGCGTGTTTGACAGTGAGAAGCGGTACTTAGTTGATATAGAATGGCAGTAGTTGTCTCTCCAATGAAACCGTAAGTGGCGAAAATGTGGTATTGACACCTGTCAATGCTTAAGACTGAGCAAGAAATCGTACATCGGCGACACGGAGTGACTGAAGTGAACACCCAACCGCATTCGTACGCTACGTAAGCCAGACTGTGCAACCAGACTGAGGCAACACTTAAGCGCACACTATTTTGCTGTACCACTTGTTAATTAATCACTCTACCTGATAACCGTACTGATGGCGATTGCGTCTCTATTCCTATATCGGTTTCGTTCAAATATGGATGCCCAAGATTAAGGGCTGTCACGTGTTCGTCTTGGATACTTATTCTCATGCATGTGCGATTGGCTGTTAGCCTGACCTCCAAACGAGACTCATACACGTTATTAGTACTATCGTTCATGAGGTTTAATGTGTCTATCCAGTTTAAGGCAGTTCATAGTTAAGTCTGGACAAGCGCATGTGTATATGTTGCATCGGATCTACCGTTGGATACGAAGGTTGCCAATCCATGTATAAATGTATACCGAATGAATTGCACGAGGATACTCACCGCTTTTGTACGGTCAACTAAGTGCAGGAATGCAGCACTGGGGTAAACCAAAAAAAATTTACCAGGACATAAACAAGGTGAGTTTATGACAAAATAACCTTGAGTCCAGGTGTCGCAAATCCAAGGCAAAGTTGATCGATGCGAATTACGTGGACAGATCAACAGGGCGGTTGCCCAGGTGCAGAGGGCACTATTGCACGCGGAATAGAAGCACGATGTGTACGCTCCCATTCGATTTACTAAGCCAGGATAATAAGGCGGCGTATGTGGTAAGGTTGCCTGCGTGATGAGAATACTTGCATGTTAGAAGTAGATGTTGTTTGAGCTCCCCGGTGTGGCTGCGCCTGATGTGAATGTTGACAAGGTAACTACCTATCTGAAACCCTCCACTTCGATTGCTGGCTCCAGAAGACAGTTGGTTGATGCTGGAGGAGACGGGGTGCATCGTTCTCGTGACGGTGCAAGATTGAAAGAGTGGATCCATCCTTTGTGGAACGGGCTACGGGCCAACCACCGCCTTATGTACGTCCGGTTTGCATGATTTCCCAATTAAGCCAGAATGCTTCTGTTCCGCTTGTTGAAGGAGTGTGGGCCGGCTCCGTTGAAAAAACGTGGCTCCAATCCACATGCCTACCGGTCTTATTCCTTCGGGTTTACACTGGATAGGGGGTGTGTGGGTGGAACTGTGGTGGTGCAGCGCAAGCCCCCATGGTCCCTCTGTAGGTGCAGGCGTCCTGTGGCTGTCCGTGTGGAGGATACAGTGACAGATGAAACCGGATACGGCCAATTCATATAAATATATTCCCTTATGTATATGGCTGGTGGCATCCGGTTCCGGATTTGCCTGTCACTGTGGCCAGCCACAGGACGCCTGTGCCTATAGAGGGGATTTAGGTGGCTTGCGCTGCACCACCCACAGCTCCAGTCACACCCCCCATATCCAGTGTAAACCCGAAGGAATAAGACCAGGAGGCATGTGGATGGGAGCCACGTTTTATCAACGGAGCCGGTCCACACTCCTCACAGGCAAACACAAGCACGCTGTATTTGGGAATCAATCGCACACAAGGCGATGGCTAGACCGTAGTACGCTCCACACTGAGTGCATGGAACCACTCTTCGAGCGTAGCGCGAGCACAAGGACCGTGCACCCCGTCCCCTCCAGCAACGACAGTCTCCTAGAGCCAGTATGGACCAGGTAGTGGGTAACAGGTAGGCACCTTGTCAACATGCAGACGCTGTCCGTATACAGACTTGTGAATATACATACACACCCTCGGCTAACGTGTTTTGACGAGGATGTTTGCTTTGGGAAGGTTTATCGCAGCCACTGCACATCTGAAGAAGCGGTGTGGAGCCGTCCTATTAGGAATCAACGGCGACTTAGCTAAATGAGCTATGGGCAGTGGCAGCGGAGCGTCATTACTGTTTACGAGGTGCCACAGAGCGTGACTCGTCCTATGCTGTCAACAATTGGAGTGGTGATCAGATGTACTGCTTTCGCCAAACCGCCATTATTCGTAAGATGTCGTAAACTAGCACGAGTAAACAGCGACTGTTGGAACAGTAGGTGGGTTTCTGGTGTTTTGAGATTAATTGCAGTCAGATCCATTAAGATGACAAGTAAATGCGTGAAACATTGCTGAACGGCTATCATTTGTCTTTAGGAATTGCGAGCAGTGATCACCTTTTGGGTAACGTCTGTTGCATAGCCGGAACGCATAGGAATGGAGCAATATTGCACCCACCTAAACACTACCCCAAGTACTTTTCCTGGCGTTTGGATCATTAAGGTCTTAGTGAGGATTCAGTATAAGGTCCCAAGGCAATGCTGCTGTCGTTGTCAGTGACAAACAGGGAAAAATGCGCAAGAGAAATAATGAAAAGAAAAGAAATCCGCAACAGTATGTCCCCGCTTATGCATAAAGCGAGAAGTAGGGGACACTTGAAACGGTGGGATCGTTGTATAACAAGGCAGTTCGACGGAGATACTGGCTATATGTATGCTATAACACTGTTGTGTTGCCCAGAACTGGGCGCAAAGTTCGATTATGGGTTGGAACCTTAATTTATACCATAGCTTGTCTATGCTTGAACACATGCTGAGATTGACGTTGCAATTATTATGCTTCTTCACCGCAGCTTGGCAGAAGTGACCTATATATAGCTTGTTCTGCTTTACACTGAATCTGACTGAATCCATTTTATTTTAGTTGTTCAGCTCAGTTCTGTTAATCATTAACATATTCCCCGTTCGCTTTACGCGTTTTTATTTCCTATATTTTCTGTTAGTTGGTTGATATTCCCCATATCACCCGTACACTAGATCTGAACTAATGCAGATTTTGAGTTGCTCAGTTCTGGCATTCTGCCACACTTGTGCTGTCTAGTTTGTGTGCATACATTTGTCCATACTGTGTTGCCGTTCGATGTCCTCAGTATGGCTACGTTGATGTGAATGTTGACAAGGTGCCTGTGTCTATTAACCTCTTCGATTATACAGGCTCCAGGAGAGCGAATCGTCGCCGCGGGTGCACCGTAAATCGGACCTAGCTAGGTTCAGTGGTTCTAGTTAACTAGTGTATGTATGTCTCGTACGCGCGATTCTTATAATACATTGACAATGCTGTTGCCGCTGTGCATGTTGAATAGGGGTGGGTGACTCCGTTGATAAAACGTGGCTCCCATCCACATGTCTCCCGGTCTAATTCCTTCGGGTTTATCCTGGATATGGGGTGTCTGGAGGGAGCTGTGAGCGATGCAGTGCAAGCCTACTATAGCCACTGTGTAAGCGCAGGCGGCCTGTGGCTGTCCCATGAGGACGCAGTGACAGGCAAATCCAAATTCTGATGCCGCCATGTTTGAATACCAAGGAAACCGACGCACTCAAGCTGCACTTCCTACCATTCTGGCACACGTGTTACGCACAAAATGGTGAAATGTCCAAAATCCCATAGTGCGAAATAAACCAGTATTCAGATGCGATACAAATGCCTAGAAATGGTAAGTCGCTGCTATACATCATGTTATGAACGACTTCTGCTAATAAAGGTTAGGAAAATTAGCAACTGTGAAAAGCTGGCTTACTGTGTAATTGTCCAACATTTTTTCAACGACCGCGTGACGCAGACGGATGCCATCGGGTAGTTTTCGATAGACCAACTTAACCTCAAGTCCTTCAGACATCCAGTAATCCTTCCTGTTTCGTTTATCTTTCAGTGCTTCTTCCTTTTCCATGAGCTCATCTAGGGCTTTGCGACGACAACCAGCTGTAGATTGAGGTCGATTGTCCATCTTCGGTTTTTCGGAAACTTTCCCTCGTTCTTCACGAGCTTTCTGCTCCGCAGCTAGCAATGGATTCTATAAATATGGATCAAATAAGAGGGTGATGAACGGCGGTGAACTTGGAGCTCTGGTGATGAATGTGAAACTGGATAACGCTGTTCAAGTTGTAATAAAGTTGTTATCTGCCTCAATTCCTTCGGAAAACCACTAAGGATTTCGACTCCCAACGAGCTTAAATAATAAAAATTAATATAATAAGTGCCATCTTACCACGGGTTTTGTTTTCTTAGGTCCAAACGACATGAGCTTCGTAGGAGCGGTTTTGCCTTCGGGAGTAGCTACGACAGATGCAGCAAGAGGGGAAACAGAAGCCTCTGTGTGTTCTCCGGATTTCTTGGAGCCAAAACTCAAATTTAAGCGTATTGGCTCGTCTGCTGGTCGAACCAGAGGAGTGAAAGTCGGTCCTTCAATCGTTTCAGTCTTCTCCAGGTTGTGCACGATCTGACGCTCTGGAAGAGTCGTGTTATCGAATAGGTATAACCTACCCAAAAAGAGGCGGTTAATCTCATCTTCCGTCTTTTCTAGTCGTTCGCTTGTCTCTTGTTTCATCATCTTTTCGGGGTCGCGGTCAATATACTCTATAAACCACCCCTTTTCGGTTTCGTCTACCTTGCAGATGCCTTGTTTCCCTAGCCACATACAAAGTCCAGTTAGTGTATGCCAACGAGTAGCATTCATGTGGATGTGCTCCTTATCTTTGATATACTCCTGATAAACAACGTTCGAATGAACGCGTTTCCCTCCGAACTGGCGCCGCAAGATGTCGAGATAACCCTTAAGAAACTCCGAAGAAAAGCTACTTATAAACTTGCTGCCATTCTCTGCGAACAGCTTCATTTGCCGATGGTGGGACTCAGACATGGTGTGACATTTGTAACCGTTCTGTTAACGTCAAAATGACATGTAAAGTAAAAGTACCTCATCCCGGCATTGTTTTTGACACATCTGACAATACCAACGCAACTTCTGAAGACCTTTTGACTTAATTCGGTTCGATATAGCCTTTGGAGTAAGAAATTCAGCTTTTCCTTTCGCCATGGCTTATCGCAAGATCGTGCAACTCAAAAGACAGAGCGTGTGGCCGATCGGTCTAAGGAAAGTTTGGTTAAATGCAACTTAGCGACTGCGATTAGCCAAGGAGACTCATTCGACGGAGTTCACCTAAACGAAAGTAGAAACCTAAATGAACCTAACTACAGCACCTTTAATAAATTAGACGCAATATTATACTTGTATGATAAGCAGAGATGAGCAAACACAGAGTACAATAGTGTATGTTACCATAAGAAGCGGACACAAATTTTAATATGCAGTCGAGTATAACCAACTAACGATGTTTGCAAGTTTTAATATAGGGTCAATTTGTAAGAACATGTGCGATGCAGCCCGAAAGAAAGCAATGTACTTTAAACCAACTAGTATGCTGCCACGTTTGTAGAAGCGTTATGTGTCATCCTTCGTATGCTTCTCTTAAAGAAAGGTATCATCTATCAATACAAAGTTAAATGCATACCAAAAATGAAGCATTCCTACGCATGGCAGGCAAATTTTGCAACCCCGAGTGTTGACACTTCTCCCTTCAGGTGTATCGTCATTCGCAGTTAGGCTAGAGGGTCAGTTAAACAAATAACTATTTAATTGATAACTCACGTGTAAAAAAGTTGTTACAATTATTGCGTATCAAGTGGCATGGTAAATAGATTATAAACATTTAAATAAGTCACCTTCAGCCATAATTAACCAAAACAGCATCCCCACATTCCTTCTTGTCAGGATTTTAGCGGAGGTAAATCCTTTTGTCGTGAACTCCGTTGGATGTGCTGCTGAGCAAACACGGTGATTGCAGGAATAATTCGTTTAAGCATTGTACGTCTTTCAAATTTTACCTGGACCAAGGAATATTTTTATTAGATTAGGCCAGTCGAACTTTAACGGTTTGTAGTAAAAACCTCTTCGTTTCGTATAGTTCATTGAGTTGTTGAGGGCCTTGCGGTGTTCCCCGGTTATCCCCTTTTACTCCAGCTGAACACTAAAAGTGCGTACATCTTCAAGGTTTGGTTGTCTCCAGGGAACCGGAGCATTAAACGTGAGACCCAATGGACCAGGTGTTCTACCTATGTTACTGACCGCTGGGCTTTTGAAAATTTTCGCGTTCAGCGCAGCAACAGCGGTTTTCAGTAGATTGTCTCATTCATTATCTACCATAGTAAAGTGAGCGACATCGTTGACGACGTTAAGTCTCCTCGGTTAGATTGTCTTCCCGTTGTGACCCCGAGTCGAGCCAACTACGTTGATCCCTTTTGGCTCATGCCCTAATTTCTATTTAGTATGCGCCTCTTGAGGTTAAGGTCCCCACGTCACAGATGGTATTCCATGGAAGACTGATTAACCTGCTGAAGCATGATGTGGTAGGGAAGCTGGCAAAGCCCGGAGCAACACTTGCGCCCTGCTTCTGGACCTCTTGGATTAAGATATTGCTACGTTCAGGTGGGAGAGCTATTAGCGGGCCATGGGGTCAAATTGGCCACACATGAGAACCGCACAGAGGCCTGATGCTCTTCGGTGTCATTGAAAAATGTATCTTTCCGTGGCACAGCGTATCCTCTTTACTGCGGTGCCTCCTTTGAGTGTAGGCTGCATGGTTTCTAGATCAGTGACTACTGGTGCGCCAAAAGCTTTCCCTGAGCGGCTTCCTTTAGTATGAACTTTATTGGGTACTAGGTTTCAAATCGCTCATGTGCATTAATCGTTTGGGCGTATCATTTGTGTAGGCTACTGGTAGCCCTTACTTGTTAAACCGGGCGTACAGCGGACGGCGCCAATAATAGTCCATCAGCTCCGTAAAGGTCTGGAACTGCAGACCACAGCTTGATGTCCCCGGCATAGATTAATTATTCAGTTTGTGGTGTTAAAGAAAAATCGTTGATACACTGCTTGTAAAGTTTAGGCCCAAGAGAGATCCCTGTAGAACACTGCTGGTCATCAGGAATGGCCTGGGAACGGTTTTGCCCACTCACTTTCGTGGTCTTAGTTTCCAAAAAGTCGGCACTCCACTGATGAAGCCTGCCATTGATACGAGCTTCCAGTAACTTCCGGAGTAGTCGCTGGTGTGGGACTTTTTCAACCGGTTGCTATAACCTAGAAAGACCAGACCTATGCTTTGTCCGGATTAATTTGACCTCGCTCACATTTTTCGTCAAGTTCGGGTAGGTAGAGTAGGAGCCTCCCTTGTGGAAAATATGCTCGACGAAATAACTGTTATATTCGTTGCATTGCTTCTGTCAAACGCGTTAGGCCATCTTTTCATGACTTCGTAAAAGATGGACGTCACACAACTCGAGCACTAGTTCATATTATCCACGCGATTTCTTGTTTAGCACTTGGGCAGTACGGTCCCAGTTTCCTAATCGATGGCAGACGGACAGCAAGCAAGGATGAGTGAAAGACCTAGAGATTAGTGAAGCAATAGAGTCAACCACAGTCTGGAGGTGAAGAGGACGCATTGCCTCAAGTGCAGGTGAGGGATCCCGATACTGTTGGTTTCGCAGACTCATTACCGTGCCCCAGCAGCAGTCATGCAGTTCTGTACGGTAAGGGCGCATGCATCCCTATGTGTTGCACAACAAAACTTCTGGGGAGTAGAATTAAACTACTGTCCGGCTGGTAGGTTCGCATTCTCGTCGGCAGCATAGCTTTCTGAAAGGGTCCGATTGAATAACCACTTCTATGCCGAAAGTTGCTTCGGTTTTGTTGGTATGCAAATCATATAACTTTTAATCTAGGTAAAGATCGTGCTTCCAAGCTTACTTCTTCGGTTGCTTACGCATTCTATGGGAGCACATGTTCATGGGTGTCCGGTAGCTCGAGTGATCACTGGCTGTTTGAGCGAACTTGCAGTCGTCCCACCGTTTCTTCCGCTGCTTTAAGACAAGCGGCAGTTATCGATCAATTCAGAGAGACCAGTCTTGTGGGGCTTCTTTCTACAGCTTGGAGCTAGAGGTTTCCAGACACTAGCATCGTCTAGGTCTTCATTGAAATCCAGCTCTGGACTCTAACTGTACTCCTTCATCTTCTTTTTCATCAACGGCAGCGCATAAGCCAGGTGAACTGATGATTTGATATCGTACAACAAACGAGCAAACACAATACGATGGGGGGGAGTAGGACTTACCGGAAAGCTTTCCTGCTCCAAATAAACGTTCCGAGCCAAGTCCACTTAATTGTTCAACAACATATCTTCACCAATAGCTGGGTTCAGTGCAAAGTATGCATCGGTGGGATAGCTTCCTTGTGGTTTGTACCGCCCCGCGTCATACTCAGCCAGTACCGCGCTGCTAACACAACACCAACTCTACTTTTTAACTTGCAGTCCGACTAGGAGACGGCGATGGTCTCGCTACTGTTGTCGACTGCATTCCATTTCCTGTAACCTTTCAAGCCAAGTACCAGGTACACCTCGTGGACTCCATCCTGAAAGTCAAGAGGAACCGGCGGCTGCAAGTTTAGTCGTCAGTGACATAGTTTCACGCTGCCAAGATAACCTTTTCCATCCTAGGGCCTTGCGCCACCCTGCCACTGGCAAACAAAACAAGGCGGTCCTCAGTGAAGATTGACTGAGCGTACATGGTATGTGACCAAGCCAACGCGACTCATATAGTACTATCTGTTGCTCTAACTAACCAGCCTGATTATCACTGCCTATTACTCGCTTACGCACCGTCGTTATGGACACGCTTATGCCATCTGACACCAGTAATGTTGGAAGCCAAGGATTTGAAAGCACCACAGGATCTCACATCGGATGGGCCATGTATCGCTCACATACAGTACGACGGTCCGCACTGTGCCCTTGCATCCACGGCCGCTTGGACATAGTGAAACCCCTTTTTGACGCCAAAGATATCATGGTTTCAAAGAGGTGGTTCCGGCCATAACGCGCATCCTGACTTCATGAGTTAAGCGCCATTTGGGACCCATGCAGCTGCCAATGCAGTTGGGGTGCTCACCTATCTACAACTCTGTGCCAACAATCGTCAATGGCTCGTCAAGTTGCCGATGGTTCTGTAAAAGCACCGTGCAATTCGTAGAGGCGTAGCGTACACGAAAGGCCAGAACCATCCTATAGAAATTTATCAGTGTTGGTTGAGCCGCCGCAACATGGTTAAAGGCAAGATAATAGCGTACGCACTAGCATTTTCAGGCCGCACCTTAAAGTGGGCACCAGGAAACTCCTCAACGAAACAATCCACGATGGAATCCAAGACGATTTTGAATAAAAATGGGAAAGTTGAAAACCTGGCGAAAGCTATTTGTTGTCGGATACTTATCCGACAGGCCTGTAATTTTTAAGCATGGAGCATGTAAAGCGGTAACATATTCCACAGAACATCTTTCCGCTCCAGTAGTTCTAACCGTAAGCGTTACGCAATTGTGTTGAACACGCACTAGAAGTCCAGCAACATAGCTATGAACGGTCTGCGGTATTGGCGGCGCTATTTTCACACCTGCCGCAGGGTGAATACATGCCCAGTACAGCCATATTGCGGGCGAAAATCCGTCTATACTTCCCCTTCCGGGATTAGCTTTCCGTAGTGGGACCATAAAGGAGAATTGAGCTCAGTTATTTCGCACAACCGGTGTTCAGCTAACACCTACGCGGTTATCGCGGTCGGTGCGACTGCCCTCCGTGTATATGGCCAATATAATCAGTTCAAGCTACATAACTGGGACGGTTGCTTCCTTCCAACCAGGTTCGAACATGGAAGTCAGGGTTTTGCAGAGGACCAAACCACCATCCTTAACTTGCGCCAGTATCAGGGAAACCGGAACAGCTTCATACAACATATTGAGGGCTGTGATCATGTTTCGTACGTTCGCCTCCGTTGGAGATAATCAGCCATGGGGCAGCCCGCACAACTTAAGTAAGTAGAGGTCCGGAATCAGGGGACCAACTAAACGGAGCTAGAAATTAGTTTGCTCATCAAGTCATCAGGGACAGCTTATTGTGATTCAGGGCACTCGTGCGGTTGCTGAGCCTCTCACTGATGCCAGGTTTCCTGAGTTCAGCGGAGGGGTTCAGCTGAGAGAACTATCTTGGTTTCTTACCAGTCCCGCCACTTCTACCGTCTAGGCCACACTGGTCCACTAGCTTTCACTGTCAGCACGCAGGCTCGCTTTATTCCCCGATTAATATTCCGCCTGGGCACACTATGTTCAGACTCAGCAGGGTGGTAGCTGCTGCATTCCGAATAGTCCAACGACCTCTCGGATACCCAGTGACTGGTGCGGTGGCGACTGAAAGTATTTCCAGCAGACCCTCCTGCGTCTTTAAAGGCAGCTGAGGTCCTGTTCCATTGAAGCTCCCTGTCTATAGGACAAGAGCGCGAAAGTTCGGTACGCAGTACATTTTGGTATGTGTGCCTAACGAGAGCTGGGATATATTCTCAAGTGTCAATCGTGGGCGATCCTTAGTGCGCCTCCCGATAAAGCATATGGAAATGCGACAGCCTACCGTTGCGTGATCAGAGTAGACTCAAGTACTACAGACCTAGCGGCCATCCACGATGGCATCACGCCACTTGTAACACACGGCGA